TGGAAGCAAAACGGATGTGTACCAAGCAGCTGGTGCTATTCGGGTTTGCATGGGATACAGCAGGGAAAGGAGGAGAAAGATTCTGGGGAGGATGAGCCCCTAGCAGGTCACAGTGAGCACTTGCTGGGCCATGGTGCTCATGGGGCAGGCAAGCATCCTGCCCTCAGTGCTCCTGGGGATGGAGGTGGCTTTAAGCAGCCTCTTCCATGCTATTTTCAGAATGCAATTTGAAAACTAAACACTCTTTCGCTTTTGACCTCAGATATTAATATCTCAAAGAATTACCTTGTCATTATGTGGAATATATTATTCCAACCATGCTTAATTTTAATAACCACCTAGCATTAGCAGTATGAGTTGCTTTGTCAAGCTTTCAAGGTCACTGAGGAGTTAGTTTGTAAGGATCCAACTGAAATTGCAGGTGTTAATGTACGTGAAACACTGGTATCTGTATATAGTAACACAAGGCCTTTCCATACAGGAACATTTTTAATGCTAACTGCTTATTTAAAAATCCTTTCTATAGACCCCTTTTATTTTCTTATCTTTCATATCAAAAAAGCCCTATTTCAATCCACTTCCTAGAAAACTGGTGAGCAAAGCAGCTTCCACTTCTCTCTCCAGACACTACAGCTGTGGTACCATGAGGGACCATCTTCCCCATACTCCATTTCCCCAGGAATTTCTTCCTTGTGGTCTGCAATGAATGCCACAGGGTAAAAAGAGAGCAGTGAGCTATGAACTGGTATTTAATCCCTTGTTTCTAGGAGCAGAATGCAAAGTTGGCTGCATTTCCAGAATGGATGCTGGCTTAATAACTTTTCCCCATGTCCTATAGCAACCCTGTTGGCATACATCATCCTTTACACGGACACCACACATGCACGTACATCTATGGGTGCAAAACCTATATGCATTTCAGCTTCCCTTTTTTAACCCAAGTGTGGATAATGGAGCATGGTGTGGACAATCCTGGCTTTGCTGGGATTTAAGGAAAGACTAAACTCCCCTCACCCCCCTGCCTGCCTCCAATAGTCTCCACAAGAAGGAGAGCTGCTTTGTTCAGCATCAGCCATCCTTGCTTAGAAAGAGAATTTGCTTTCAACGAGACACACAATTGCTACACATGGCATTCCTCAAAACAATGCCATGTTTAGCAATTGGTAGCATTAAACATTGAAAGGAATTTTCTCTGATGGAGTTTGACAACTTTGCCCAAGAAATAAAATTAAATTTCTTCAAGCTGCCAATAGTCTTTAATAGAAGCAGATTTAAATACAAACTAAAGTTCCCTCACACTGTGCTGTAAATCACATGGGAAACATAATTCATTTGCAGCAGTTTTCAACAAGAAAACTTGGCAGCCTTTCAGCAAGTTTCATAATTGCTCTATTTTAAACTTCAGCTTGAAAATGCTCAAGATAGCTTTTTAGTTTTATTGAAAGGTTAATTTCACACCTACAGAAAAATATCAGCTTTCCATTAGCTCTAACGGAGTGTTAAATGTGAAAATTACAGTCCCTTCATATAAATGTGAAGAGTTTGTTGCATTTTTAACCTAGCTTGCTTTCCCATTCTTTCCTGGGCACTGATTTCCATCACTCATTACATGAACTTGGTATTACTCCTGGGTGAGAGCTGCAAGACAACACTGGCTGCAGCATTTTGCGTGCTAGCTATGTGGGACAAGCACTGAGCAATACTACTAACTCTTCACAGATTTAGGTCTCAAAAATGGCCATTTTTGCATCTCTGGACTCTATTTATTTATAGAACAGTACAAATAAGGGGTAGACAAACAAGAGATTTACCTGTCTCCCTCCCCATCCATAAGCTACCCCTGGGGGCCAGCCTGCTTCTGTGGCCCCCCTCCCATGACCAGGCAAGAACAGCTCCTCTCCCGCTGGAGGGGTCAAATTAGGATGCAGAATTAGGAAGAACCCCAATAGGATATTTCTGGTGACCTATGCACTTGGTACAACACTCCGTCACACGAAGGTGCACTGGGTCCATCAGTCATTTGGGCTGGGGGAATGTCCCCCTGGAGCCACTCCTACATCACCAGTGGAGCCCCAGTAGGGCACCTCTAGGAAACTAGAGCTAAATATCTTGTCGTAGGTATTTTGTGACACAGCCTGAACCTCAGCCTCACATGCCTTAGACCAGGTTTTGGATGGTCCATGCAGACATGATGCTTTAATGGTTAGTGTTTGCAATCTTCACTTCCCCAAACCTAGTGCTTTCCCCCACCTTCTCGACCCAGCGCTTCTTAGCAATTAAACACATATAGCACTTGTAGCAGTAGTTTCAGTTACCCTCATGGATACAGACACATCACGGCTCCCAGAACCATCATTCCTCCAAGTTTATGTGCAAGCATGAGTGTGCACACTGTTGGAGGGGGTGGAGGACAGGCAGATAGAGCAGAGTGAGTTCGTGCAGCCATATGCAGAAGGAATGCCATTAGAGAAAAACCTAGCCTTTGCCTCCAGGAAAACTATGAATCAGTCTCTCCTTTAATGGGAAAAAAGTCACACTGAATTTCATTTAAGTGTCTTAAATTCAGTCTCACCAGAAACTGTTTATCAGGTGAAAAGGGAAAGAGAGTGGGTTAATTAATCCTGAAGAATCCTGGTACCATGGCTGTGTGCAAGGTTATTTACCATTGCACTGTTTTCCCTTAAGTGCAAATCATGACCTTGTCTTTGCCAAGGACTTCCGCTTAGGAAGTTGATGCTTGGGGCAGAGAGGTCATCTCTAGCATCATATCAGAGCTGCCATATCTCCCCATCCAACCAAGCAAGATTCAGTTCACAGCCACCAGCACACCAGGGTGCTGAGCCACATCGCAGCTGAGATTACAGCACATACACGGGCTGCTGCATCCCGGGTTCCTCAAGTACAATTTAAGCACTACTTGCAGACAAAGGATTAATACAACAAAAGAGGCAGGTTTCTTGATTGAGAGTTACATTCCCCGCCCTGAGCTGCTCTATGTCAGTGCGATGGCACACAGGGGCAGGCCATGCAGCACAGCACAGGTATAGGCCACAGAGCACCTTCTCCTCCATAGCACACAGTATCCACCTCACTCAAGAAGAGCTCCTGAAGTTTTGGTAATCAGTGGGAATTTTTGTTGCAAGCTTCATATCCACAGTCCCCAAGAAATAGCTGGGGACATCTCATGCCCCAGAGCTCTGGTAAAGCAGACCTCGTGCATGGCAGAAAGGCTGCAAATAGGTTGGTGTGGACTCCTCATAGAGCAGACTGGTTTGGAAAAGAGCTTAGAAAAGCAGTTTTCAATCAGGTTTGGAGGTTGGGAGCAGACAGTGCTGAAGCAGAGGTGGCATTTTGCCTTTTTAAGACTGGCATGTATGAGAAGTTAGGCAGAACCCTGATAAGGAATAAAAGATAGCAATAAAATAAGTGAGTTTTCTTTAGTTGCTTGCTTCTCTTTTATAATGGCTTTCTAGTTTCTCCCCACAATTATGAAAATAAATAACTTGGATGTCTTGGATTCTCTTGTCTAGAAACAGCAGGAAAAATGCAGCTTATGAAAGAACCTGTCTTTTTAAAAACAAGCTTCCTTTCAACATTTGCAAGTTATCAGCCTTACAAGGATCCTGGCAGCGGGTGAGCCATCCTGCAGGAGATGGATGGGCAATTGCTTGTGCAATTTGGCTGAGTTAGTGGGAAGTTGAGAGAAAGAAAAGTTCAGTCATCAGTGACAGCATCTCCAGGCATCCCTCTGAATGCCCCAGGTGAGCAGCATCCCTCATCCCAAAGGCAGATAACCTTTATACTTCTCTCTGGCATTCAGTCTCTGGCCTTTAGAATCATTGCTCTTCCGATCTGCTCCATGTAAATCATCACACTTCCCCTTTTTATGATATTCTAATTAAGAAAACTGTGATAACAGTAACTAATTATGTCCATAACACATTTTGAAGTGCTCTCTCTGCCTGTCAACACTCAGAATGGGAGTCTAAACTTTGGCAGGGGTCCCGGAGCCAAAAAAGGGTCTGGAGCAAGATGCCATTAACCTCCTGTCATGAATCTTAGATAAAGAAGTTCCTATGAACAGCCAGTGGTTCCTTTGCCATCAGTCTCCAGGCCCCTTGTTCAGCATTTCTAATAATAAGCAGCTCAGGTGCACTATTCTAACCACCCTCAAGCACACAGTCACTGTCATTTTACTATCCCATTATCCTGATTAAATACCTGTTTGGATGGATTGGGTATTATGATGCATTACAAGCAGTATTTTATGTTTTAGGAGACTCTGAACTACACTAGCCCTTTAAAGAAAACCCTACTACGATCAGTACAATTGAAAAGCTTCCTCAAATACACACAAAACCATCAAGTTTTGTCACATTGATATTTCAGCTTCAGTTTCTTTCTCCCATTTCATGAAGCTGCTCAGTGCAACACACGTGCATCAGAGAAAGCATGATCAGGGCCTGGGGAGCCCTTCTTGTTGGGGTCAGAAGGGAGAGCTTCCCAGAGCTCCAGAAGCTGAGACACAGGGGTTTCCAATCACATTTCAGCAACATGACACAGCAAAGCTCTGCAGCTCACTTAACTGGTTAAGAAAACAAACACATGTAAATTTGAGAAGTTCCAGCAGTTACCAAAGACTCTCACACCTGCTTTGTTGGGACATCGCAAGAGAGGTGATGGTCAATACTCCTGATGGGAGATGCCTTGAGCTACTGGCGTTACAAATAAGTAACCTCCATCTCCAATTCCTCCATCTCTTCTACCAGTAACACACCCAGCTTGGAGCTGTAACTTCACCCTCCCACTGCCCCAGTCCTAATTGGGACATTCAGGGCTTCCTGGCTTCCCACCTCTTTGCCTCCCCTCCATAATGCAGTACTGCCAGCTAGAGCCCTGCAGGCATCTGATTGCCTCCATAAGGGTTTTTTGTTATTTAAAATGAAGGAAAACAGATTCCCGACTGTCAAATGGGGAGGGGTGTGGGGAGGGGGGGGGTTCAAGTTACCCTATAGCATCTTTGGCCAACACGTTTATAGTATTTTTCTCCCTGGTTTAATTCCGAGAAAATCATCTAACACACTGGTTTTCACTTTGTAAAAAGAGATGTAAACCATTTGAACTCCACAGCCCTCAGCTGTACTTGCCACAGCAAAGAAAACCCATCATCTTGGTAAATAACGGGTGAAATGTGGAGGTTTCTGGCTATCTAGATGGTAGGGAGTGCCTCTCTACTGAGTTTTAATACTTTAGCCATGTCAGACCTGTGAGTTACAGCTTTTTGCTGTGGGCAAGTTGATTATATAGATTCATGTGGTCTACAGAATATGTGATATGCACAAAAGGTGGCATAAATATGTATTACAGTGCTAACAGCTTGTTTTATTTCAATGCCTGACAGGTTACAGCTGACATTGAAGAGAACAGTGATGAGCAGCCACTTTGCAAGCCCTCTCTGTAAAAGGCAAATGTATCTGACAGTGGTACTGGTGGGACAAAGCTCCACAGCCTTCAGCTAAACTGTTATGATAGGGACTTGAGGAGCTCTGCAATGCGGTTTCAGGTTGTGTCTGGTAATGTGCTTTGTACTCTCCTGAGCTGGCTGCAATTAGAGATAAGTTATTGGTCATTTCTTTTGGATTAACTTGTACCATGTCTGTGTAACATGGTAAAGTCCTGCTTGCCATTTAGAAAGCAAAATGTATTCAAATGACTAGATAATAAGCCTATTAGCCATGCTAATTTAACTTGTATTATCAGGGTTAAAAGCATACAGCTATTGCCAAGCCCATGGGTGCAATTTAATGAGAAACAGCTAGAGTGAATCAGATCACAGCAAAGAGCAGTGGCTGGGCTAATCAGGGCAGACCAGACAGGTGATACAGGTGCTCCCCACATCTTTCATAACAAGCTTTCAGAAGCATCCTTCTATGATGTACCACAAAGAGCTGCAAACTCAGATCACAAACTGCCTGGTTGGATTTCAAGGGTGTAGCAGCCCAGCAGCCAGCACTGTGCCTGCAACAAGGCATCCCAACCAGCTCATTACATTAAATGCTGTTCTGTGTCTGCACACTGCAATCTCTGCCCATGAGCTGTAGGGTTTGCATGTGGAGTGGAGAAAATTGGGATGCAGAATGACCACCACAAGCTTGAAAAGCAGCAGTGAATAGCAATATATCAAAGAGTCATTTTTAAACCAGGTATTTCCTTTTGATGCTGCTTTGAAGGTGTGATCAACTGTTATGGGAGCTTTTGTATCTCATTTATACCACTGCAAAGTGAAAATAAAATGCTGCCAAGGCTAGAACAGCAGCTCCTTGCTCCCGCTGTGACTGCAAACAAAGCAGGTCACACCTCTGCTTGAGAGGTTTACAGCAGCAGTGGTGGTGCTGGACCTCCCCAGGGAACATGTTTTGAAGGTTAACAAAGACTAGATTCACAGGCAAAGGCTGGTCTGTTACTACACAACACACCTTGAGGGGTTTTGCATGACCCCAGGCAACAAGAATGAGGGTGACGGGGCAAAACTGAATCTCTCCCAGGGCAATTTTGCACTAAAATGCAGAGCTCTCCTACAAATAATGCTGGTTGGGGATCAGTGGCTTGGGTGGAATGGAAAAAGTGAAGGGAATATTAAAAGAAAAATCCCAAGTTTCAATTGAAATGTATTTAATGATTAAAGGAAGCTAAAGAGGGAAAAAAAAAAAAAAAGAGTTTTCTCTTATAAAAAACCATTTCCATTTCACAGCCAGAAAGTATCATCTCACTCTTGGTGCTCTCTGCTTTTTCTGAGGAGCTAGAAGTTGGCAGAATGAAACAACTCCAGGAAGTATCACCGAGTGGAAAAAAAGCAAATTTCTGGGCGTTTTAACCATACAATGGGATGCCACACAGCATCTGCTCCTTTGGCAAAGTATCGCCTCACATTTGTTTTAGAGACATCAACAGCTTTATTCACTATTAAGGATTATTCACATGCCAAGGAAAGATTGGCATTTCTGAGAGAGGCTCCATGGGTTTTAGCACATGCCTCCTTATTCAGAGTTTACACCAGAAATATGGCACCCACCATCCTCTTGTCTTTAAAAATATTTGTCTCATTGATTAGCGCATGGTTTAGATCAAAACGAGGAGACAGGAACAATTCCAGTCAGTGCGAGCAGTCCCTTGTCTGAAGGATACACCTCCAGAAGTGATGAGCTGTTGATCACTTAGACGGAAACAAACCCCAAACCCTGAAAATGCTTTGAATTGAGAAAGGGATCTAATTTGCAGCTCATCACCTGACTGCCAGGTATCAGCTCCACACTGATTGCTGCTACCACCCTGCTGATGGATAGCACATCTTCTTGAGTGCTGCTCTAATGATCCCCCTCCTTGCCAATGCTCCCCGCAGCTATGTGCACCCATGGGTAAGGTAGAAAAATCATTGATAAAAACAGGCCAGCCCTGGTCTGTGATGAACTAGGCATGAAATATGTGTGTTTCTTAACACAGATGCCCTCAAATTCTTCCATCGCTCCCGAAGCTCTCTGTGCTGAGCCCCTGGCTGCCCACAGGGTTTTACCCACAGCAAAGCTGGGCAGGCACAGAGAGGGCTTTGTCCAAACACTATCCCTGTGCCTGCCAGAACTGGCAAGACAGCTCTGCTCTTCATCAGAAAACCTGGCCAAAAAAGCAGCAGAGCAGAAGATGCATCTCTTCCCGAGAGGACAAGTAGCTGAGCTCTATATAATCCAGAAATGATTCAGAAAGGGCAATGGAGAGACCCTCTATGAGCAAAGCACAGGGCTGACCCTTTCCGCACAGGATCCCATCTGCCAGAACCCCACTCCAAGAATCCCCTTTAAGCCATGACTTCACAGAACTTTTAAAACCATATGTTTGAATATTTTGCTGCACATGAAGCTCTTTTTCACTGTCCTTGTGGGATAAGCCAGTTAACCAATAACCTCCACCTATAAAATCTATCTTCTGGCTGCAGTAAGCATCAAGACATGAACAGGATCAAGGCAGCATGAGGGAATGTCTGCATAGCTCCAAGCCTGAGCCAAAAGCCTGTTTGTAACTCTAAACACTTGCACACACAAACACCTATCTCAGATTTACCCATGGAAATAGCAGATTTGAGAACACAGTGCCTGTGCCCTGCTCCCGTGACCTACTCCCCTGGATGCTGCAGTACACCCCATCTATCTAGTGCCCACAGCTCCCAGCTCAAACTGAGCCAGCTTGCATCAGCTGTACTTTAATGTGCTCATCTGCACTCAGCAGCCACTTCACAGCTGATTGAGATGTCTCTGCCTCTGGCAGCCTAGTGGTTTAAACCCAGCCTTAACTCAGAGCCATGCAGCCACTCTCTCACTCCCCCCCTCAAGACATCACTCTAAGGGGGTCCCCAGCACCATGATGCCCCCATCATACACCCCTCATACACCTGATGAACCCAGGACACAGGGAAAAGCAGACCTACAAAGCCACCCTTTTTGTGAGTTAGAGACCAAGCACACACCAAGTGTGTGTCAGGCTCCAAGTTCATTCACTTCATCCACTACACAAGCAAGGACAATCTTCCCCCCTGCGCACATATGACCATATTAAATGTTTCCCTCTATTTACAAGGATGCCCCATTTTCACCCCTTGACCCTCAGGATGTACCTTTGCCCAGGTGACAGCATTTATCAAGCACAGCGCTCTCCCCCTTTCATTAGGTCAGACACAGGAGCTTGTATTTATAGGCTTTCATGGGCTTTGCATATCTTAAATATCTTTCTGTTACTATCTATACAGAACCAAAGTCACTTCCATTTGGAAGACAGCCAGCCTGTAGCACAGCTCCTTCGCCAGGCAGGTTTAAAGTCTGTGTTCAACCCTACAGGCAGCACTGCCTAAAGCTGAGACCCAGAGGCAGAGTAGGAGAGGTGAATGTGCTGGGACATCTCTAGAGGTACCAATGGCCACCTACTGAGTTTGCTAAGCAATTATTTACATAAAGGTGTGCTTACATAGGGAGCAGCTCTATGGTATTTGCATACACGCTTTACTCAGTTAACTCCAGCGTTGCAATACAGACAGAAGCTGCAAGAGACACCAGGAGTACTGGTGTTTGAGGCCCCAAATCAAGATATTCTATATTAACTCTAATTTAGCTTGGGGAGCCGGAGACCCTTATAAACTAAGGCATCATGTCTAAAGTCACAGGGTGCTTTCTGCATTTTCTAGTAAATGTCTCAAAATGAGTTGTTTGAAGATACAATACTGCAAAGCCTGGCTTATTCATGTTTCTATTAGGAATCATTTGCCTTTCAGAAGAAGCTATATTAGAGACAAGGAAAAGTCATGTATAAGGTGGGGGTAGAACCCGTTGTGCACAAGACACGTGTCTGCAATGATTTGCCTGGGTAAAAGTTATTTAATTTAGTGAGATATGTTGTACTCAAGTGTTTAAATTAGAAACCTGCTCTGAGCTGAGGATCTCTGATTAGACAAAGAGGGGAACAGTAATCACTTGGAGCACTGCACACAAGGGGCGAGCAACCACTCAGAATCCCTAATTCTTAACTTATTTATGCACTGCAAAGCCCACACACCTTAATGATTTAGATAATCTGCTTCATGCCAAATGACTAAAAACTCCTCATGTGAGCAGGCAGCCGCGAGCAGTCAGATCATTCATCTTTCAAAACAGCAACAAAGCAAGCCTGTCCCCTCTGGTTGGCGGTCTCTCTCTAGGCAAAGGTGTCTCGAGGTTTGCTCCATTTCAATAAGCATCATTTGAGACCCTGCTGTGGGTAAGTTCAAGCAGACAGCAAAGTTGTGAAGCTGCTTCTCACTATTCAAACTGCGATGGTTATTTGTGTGCTGTGAAAGTACCAAGGCATCACCGCGCACAGTGACCACAGGAGAGCTGCTTCTAGAAACACAGCAAGAGTCCCCTTTATCCCAGCATCAAATCTCTATTTATATAGGTAATGCGTGGAAAGCCTGAAACAGTGAGCTACCTATTCAAATGCATCCCTACTAAGGTAACATCTCCCTATATCAACACCTTAACCTGACCTCTTCCAAGACCAGTAACAGTGGCTTCCCAGCTTGACTTCAAATCTGCATCTTTCCCTGGGGTTGAATTGCAGATGTGGAATTGCAGAAGAGGGGAGATTGAGATGAGCTCTTAGGCAGAAGTTCTTCCCTGTGAGGGTGCCCAGAGAAGCTGTGGCTGCCCCATCCCTGGCAGTGTTCAAGGCCAGGTTGGACACAGGGGCTTGGAGCAACCTGCCCTAGGGGAAGGTGTCCCTGCCTGTGGCAGGGGGTTGGAACTGGATGAGCTTTAAGGTCCCTTCCAACCAGAACCAGTCTGGGATTCCATGATGCTGGCTCTATGGTCTGAGCCTTTCTGTTTTTCCTACACTTTTAACAGAACACACTGCGAAGTCTGTGTTACACTGAGCTAGAGACACACAGAACCACCCCATGATCTCTTCAGGAATCAAACACTGCTGCAGTAAGCCAGCAACCTACACTGGGGTCTCAGGCTGTATGTGGTGGTAGAACACCTCTGTCCTGTGTACATGGGAGAAGATTCACACCATCCTGCTTCTGTCCCATAAAAGTCATTGCTCAGACTCCTACCACAGAGGGAGAGAGAAGAGAAAAGCCACAAACATCTTTCTGTGTGGCAAGTACAGACAGTGCTGTTGTCTTTATGGCAATTTTTAGTGGCATCAGCACACACCAGGCTTGAAATCTGTTGTGTCTGGGATGAGCAGAGATCTTTGCCTGCTGTCTTTGCTGGTAACTTAGCATGTCTTACATTAATTCAGCAAATTAAGAGCCCTGCCATAAAGCAGAGAAAACTTGTTGGGAAAAACCCCACCATGTTAAACAATTCATGCAATTTTGTTTTGGATACTTCAACCAACAGCATCCCTACCCTGCAGGGAGAGTCAGGAAGGCTCCCTTAGCACAAGGGCCACAGAGCCAGCAGCTGGGCTTGTACATCCTGAAGCATATGGATGGAGGGGGCTCAGTGCAGTGACTTCAGGAGGTGTGATGATATACTTAATGTAGGGTATTTATTCCAAATGACAAGTCAGGGCTGTTTTGTGTCTCACACTATTAATGCCTAAAAGCGGAGCATTGGGAGCTGGGGTTTGGTTGGGCTAACACACACTGTATTGTGCTATACATCTCTGTGTGTGAACAACTCCAGTTATCCCCGTACAGGCACCATTCATCACCAGCCTGTATCCTCAAGTTCCACCCGCAGCATGGCTACCCTGGGAAGGGCACTTCCCAGGACTCCCCTGCTCACCCCATACTGCAGGTCTGGGGGCTCAGCTGGCTGGGGCTTTGTGGTGGCTCCTTGAGTCAGTCCACTCACCATAGGGGAGGATTTGGGGTTGTGCCCCTCCTTGAAACCCAGTTCACCCAGAGCATCTCCAGGACTCCTGTCATTGTAAATAACAGAACCCCTTTGTACTTTTAGCCTTGTGTTTCTGACAAGCCATCATGTCCCATCTTTCCTTACATCCCCAAGGATCCATTAGCTAACGAATAACTGAGACCTGATTCTGGAGCAGTGTCTCAAGCACTCACTTGAGATCAATCACATCACAAGGGACATGGTATTTGGCTCCCACCACAAGCACCCGTGGAAGGAGGTCTCTTGAGAAAGAGCCGATGACTCTTCTGTAGTAATTACTTTCAGTGAGATGCAGTTACAACACAGCAGCGTGATACACACAAATGGCAAACCAGCAAGTCCCTGATATCATCACGGCCCTCCCTTCCCCTGCCATCTCCCTATCAACTAACAGGCAGATAGCTGAACAATAAGGTTAAAAAAAAAAGAGGGGAAAAAAAAAGTATTTTTGGATGACTTTCCACCGCAGATCTAGCCACAAGTGCCTGTGGTGCAGTGATACCCCTCTTGTTAACATTAGTACCAGAGACATGGGAAAAAGACAAGTGCAATGCCAGGTTTTAAAGAGAGCCCTGGGACCTGACAGCTTCAGTACATGGAAAACTGGGGGAAGCTGTGTCGAGAGCAGCATCATCAGCAGGGAGGGAGCAGAATGGCTCCTGGCAGAAAACAGCACCATCACACAAGCAGCAGCGACCAGCACAGTGATTACCTACTCCATTTAGCAGCATTTTGATGCCAAAGGGCTTCTGACAAAGGCCCTCTCAAAAAGCACTTAAAGCCACTAGGATGTCACAGGAGGAGAGGCAGGATCCTTTAATTCATTAATAACTAGAGGGATGAAAAACCCCAAACCCATCAGGTTTGGAACAAGCCCCAGTTTTTCTACAGAGAAAGGATGTACACAGGGATCTGCACTGTTTACTGTAGCCAAAAATGGCCTAGGAAACCATGCAGAAGCAAGACAGAGTTTGTAAGTGAGGCATATCAGGACAGTAAAAACTGGAGGAGATTCTACATCTGTATATGTACACAGAGAGATTTTATATATAGCTTATATATAATAAACATAAGTGATACATGTATATCTTGTGTATGTATAAACCAAAATATAATGTGTACTATTTTAAACATATATACATTATATATATATATACAAACAAGTGTATACATAACTAATGTCCATCCCCTTTGCTACAGTCTTTCCCTGCGTACCAGGCCTCAGCCCCTCTCACAGGGCAGATGCAGGGGGATGCAGTCGGATGCAGTCAGTAATGCAACACAGCAGCATGCACGGCTCCATGGGGCAATGACAGCAGAAGCATCTCAGCAACAACTTAAGTACATTTCTTCAGAGCAAACTGAATACTAAACCTTGAGCTTGGGATCCACTTTGATCCCAGAAGCCCTCCTGTTCTCTCCTGGGGTATCAGCCTGTTTCCATCCTGGCCACACAGTGCACGCACACAGCCACCCTCCACCAAGACTCACAAAACAGCTTCCAGAAGAGCCCGTAAGTGCAGCAAGTGTTTGTAGGGGTCATTACAGAGACCTGGGATGCTGCAGCAATTGGTGCTGTGGAGCTTGAAAAGGTAACAGTTTAAATTCATTTGTTTATTAGCCAATAGCTCAGGCTCTGGTCTATTTCTTTAATAAACTGACTGAGTACTTCAATTGATCTTAAAGTACCTACTGGCCCCTATTAACTCACAGCGTTTGTTAGGATGCACAGGTATAGACAGGACTCTTGTTATGAAATAGTTGTCAGTGGCAAAATACTCCCAGACTGCAGGAAAGCAGAGAGCTCACATGGCTTCCAGCTCAAGGGAACAATCCTGCCTTTCCTAAGCTCTTAGTGCTTACAAAAAGAAGCAGCATCACCAGACTAGACCTTCTTAAAGCTGTTGGGATGCATGCTTTGTGCTCAAGACAGCCTTCACAACTGAATGAAGTCAAAGACACCAACACCCCCCCCACTGATTGGCACCAGTATTTGTTTTCTTGTATATTAATAAATCTCTGATGCAAAGAGATATTTTACATACCTGTAAAGCAGCACAAAACAGCTCTCCCTCCTGCACACCATGGGAAGTCCAACACCCCAACCTGTTTCCCAAGAGATCTATAGAAAAAGGGTGTTTTCCCTTTATCAGAATTCTGAGCTGATTTGAAACACACAACAGCTGAGAGCTCCCATTAAATCCATAAGGAAGAGCTGCTGAATGTTTTTCTGGGCTAGAAAAAGAGAGAATTGGAATGTTCCCTTTTGAAGGCTTTGTCTATAACAGCTCTGGGAGACAGCAGGTACGTCCAGAGCATGGCTACCACCTAGTAAAGTTAAAAGCTAAGTTCCTTGGAAGAGTTGTGCTATGTTAGATGCATACATCCAACATAGTAAGAAAAATAGTCTCTTCAGGTTTCAAAAGTCTCCAGACTGAGCCTTGAGCTTCCTTCTATTCCAAAGCTCACTCTCCTGTTGTATCAGTGATCTCTTACCTCCCACAGAGGATGTTGATCCCCCCCAGACCCTGTATCAGGCAGCAGAGAGCTGCCTTCTTCACCACATCTCTGAGGTGCTGCCTGCATATCCTGGGGCATCAGCATCTTGTCTACCATCCCAGCATCCCCTGCCCTGCTGTGCTCCCTCCTCGCTGGGTTGTGACCCTGCAGCAACTCTGCAGCACTATTGCTCCTCAACCATCATCACCTCAAGCTAGGCATAGCCTGGGATTTGCTACATGAATCCAGATGCATGTGGAAGAGCCTTCCTTTCAACCCAGCGCTGCCACAGAGGCAGCTCTCACCATCTTTAACAGGGGTAAAAAGCCTGCAGTTCTCCTGTGGTCTCAACAGCGAGAATAAATACTGAGAAAGAATCAAGTGTTGCTCTTTTATTTGTTAGCTTGCCCACTCTTTCCGTCACATACACTTGAGCACTCCCAGCATTGCTTCACCTCAGGTTGCATTCAGCAGAAGGCTTTAGGTGCTCATTAATTAAAACCTAATTTGTGTAGGTCTTTGCTTACAATTCTTATGCAAATTGCTCTCAAATTGTGTTCTGTTTTCAGCTGAGCTGAATCCAAGCACTAAAAAGCCAGAAGAGAAAAGGCAAATTGAGGAGTGTATGTGCAGGTAATAAAGCTTTTCCTCAGAGGCTTGGCAACAACCTTGGGTCATGTGTACTACAAGCATAGATTTAGAGATGAGATAAAGAGCTCTGTAATGGTTGAGTCTTTCAGAACATGTGAGTTAAAAGCTGCTCTTGGAAAGAAACTATTGATAAACACTCACTGATGTGTTGGTTATTAATGTGATGTTTTTATATAAACTCTTTCTGCTCTAGGAACATGATGGATTTTTACCACAGGAGGGAAGAAGAGCTTTTCATGTATAATTTAATCATTTTGTATGTGCCTGGTATTAACACCACATTTGACAAAGCCACGTCTAGTGTGATCTGGTTTTAATTTGGGCTCCTTGTTACAGTTTGTTGTAGCTGCCTAATTGAAGTTTTTCAGGGAAGTAATCAGCATTATTACCATAGTGAGATCAGTTTAATAAGAAGGTAATTTTACAATTTGTTTTCATTAATTAGGCAAAACCCCATAAAATCCACACAGTGGCATATAAACCCAGGGAAGCTGTGACACCAGCTGCGGCATGCAAGGAAAGATGAAATTTACCTGTTGATGTTCTGTCCTCAGTGTGATTTTCACCCCTGCAGCTTTAGAAAAGCAAACTCTGTCATACAGTGCTTAACCTGGATGTTTCTACTAGGGCATGTTGTCTCCAAACAAAACCTAAAAGTACATTGTGAAGGATGGAGGCAGAACAGCTACATCAAGGGATGTGGGAAATGAATCAATGTCTATACACAGGCTTCCTCCAACCGTCCCAGGTGTCAGAGTAAGCCAATCTCATTCTGCTGTGAAAAGGAATCAAAGTAATAGTGGGAGGGCTCTCTGGGCTATCTCTGGAAAATGGAAGGTCTCCGGGCTGTACTGTAGATCTTTCTACATGTCCCCACTGTAAGAATACTGGGACGATTTCTAGTACAAACCAGCTTTGTTGTTCAAACTCAAGCAGAGACCAAGCACACACCAATTTATCCAAAGAGCTGTCCTAACTCTGGCTGCCTTTCCAGAGAGCTTGTATTTAGTTTTGTAACAGTGATTAATGCTTAACAAGCCACGCACTAATCACATGCAGGAAAGCAAGACTTTCATCAAAGACCATTTACTGTGATGCTTGTTTTCCTCTGCTCTGATGATGCTAGGGTACCCAGAGGCCAACTAGCTGCTGCGTTGCAAGGATAGAAGAGCTCCTGGTATCCTGTACATTGCTTATTGATCATCTCAGGACAAGCAGGGATTGATTTTGCCCACTGTTGAACCTCTGGATCTGTTTGGGCTGCTGGTTTTACTGTGGGGTTACAAACATGCCCACTTGAGGAGCTGCTTCCCTCCACTTGAGAGCTCCTGACCTGTCCCTGATTTCAGCAGCAGCTTCACAGGAGTATGTGCTGTGGTTTGTATTCCTCTTGACATCAGAATCCAGCAGACAGCGACTGAGAAAGCTGGATCATGGCAAGGGGAAAAAAACAGCGGAAATCACAAATGGAAACTGGTCCCTTGGCTCCAGGGGTTGCATTATGGGTGTTGGAAGGGGCTGCACCTTGTGCTGCCATCTCATGAGGGACCATCACTTACATGGGATCCCTGCCTGCCCAGGGGCCCTTGGTACTCAAGGTCCTTTTTGAGACTCAGTGGCAAGCCATTACATATTCACTATAGAACCCAGCCTGAATTTTGTCCCAGAGGAACCAAGCACCACCTATGATTCTCTGCACAGCAGAGCCTTTCCAAGTTGGCCTTTCTGGGACTTCTGAATGGGAGGAACAATGATCGAGGCACTACACCAGCTATGTACCACCAGCCTCTGCTACAGACAACCAGTCCCAGGCTTGGGTCAATCCTATAAGTTTCTTTGTGTTCAGTTTGGAGGATCACGGTTGAGCTTCTCTGTATGTGCTGGATGCTGGGACTGAGTCTCGTGATGGCTATGCATTGCTTCAACTCACTCCTACAGTAACAATGAATAGAGACTAAGTTCTGTGGCTCTGAATCTGTCTAACCTAATGGCTGTTTTGTGCAGTTGGGGATTAGAGGGACAGCCTGATATATCTGTCTGCTGAATATCATTTGCTGTTTACCTTTCCTGGAGGAGGACTCAGATCTAGGACCGTAACACTTGCAGGGTGAGGGAACAGCAGATGAACAAAGCGAGAAGACACAGCTTCATGGGAACCTTGTAAACCACCAACTGCAGTAAAAGTCAATGCAGGAATTAAAAGCTGTCAGTTCAGAAAGACATAAAACCACCACCTTTCCTTTATCTGGATTCCCTGGCTGAGCTTGGAGCAGAGATTTTCTGTTTTCCAGGAGGTGTTTCACAGAGCTCCTTTGAGGCACACAAACCATCGCACTTTGGAGAGAACATAATTCTGGGACAAAGCTTTTCATCTGTTCTGTAGTGAACTCCTGAGGGGATGCTGCATGTAGTATCTTTGTTAGTCATCCCAACACTCCTTTAGAAGGTTTTCTTACCGTGCAGCCACAGTTTTACTGCTACCTTGGCAGGCTACGATGCAAACCTCTACCTTTACGTGCAAAGCGACCTGTTGCAATAACCACTAGAGTGGATGTAGCAAGAAGCTTTCCCAGACCACACCACTTGGAAGTACACACACATACTTGCAAAGTCTGTGCAACCACAGCAAGGTTTATTTTACATGAAAAAGTAACACAGCACTTACTTTGCAGGAGGAGGAGACAGGCACAATGTCTCAGTCTACAAGACATCCTCAGCATTCATGCTCCAATGCACCAGACAGGTCTTACTGAAGGTGCAGTAACAGAGAGACAGTCAGGGAGCATATTTCTCTTCCCTGAAAGGTCTACACATGATTGCACACACAACATGTGGCTGTAGGCCCCCATCAGAAAGCTTGATGTGCAAAGCAATAAGTCAGTGGCTGGATGTGAAAGCTCCCCTGCAGTCTGGGAGAGCACCTGAGGCTGAAGCCAGATACCCAAAACCTCCAATTGCAGCAGGACACAGAGTTAAGGCCTGATAGGGTGTAAGAAGCCATGGGCAGGAGCTGTAAGTGTGCTCTAAGTATGAGAACAAACCTGCCTTCCCGAGCTGATACTGGGAAATGGAAGCTGAAGATCGGAGGCTGGAGCTCTCCCTGACCCCCGTTTCTCCTCTAGCAGTCATTTGGAAGCTCACATAACTGCAGAGGTGACTCAGACTTTTCAGAACGGAACTTCAAGCTTACATGAAAAGTCTGCATAGCCTCTCAAGGGTGGTTATTCACACCTGGACAGTGTAGCTGCACAAATCCCAACCCAAGCCTATAGAGGTCAGGTTTTGACTAGCTGCTCTTCATCCTGCCTTCACTTCTAGGGGTACCAGATACTGATGCAATGTTCACACATGCTGAGGCAGAGGAGCCTGCAGATTTCATCAGTTTATCTGCCTGCTCAACTCCTTAGCACTTGTGTGGGCTCTGCTATGAGAAATCAATGATGAATTCCCATCGCTTCTGGTAGGAGCAAGCTAGAAACAAAATAAAGCACAACAGTAGCCTTTTAAGCAAGCTTTTAGCCAGCTCCCTGAGGATGCAGCCAGACATACTGTCTATGCCAGATCAGCTTCAAAGCTGTTAGTTGAGAGTGCTCAGAGCAGCCACAGCCTGAGCTAATAAAAATGCATCTTCCACAGCCGAGCTCAAACTTCTGCCTACTCCTATCTATAGGAAGATGGTCTTCCAAGTGCATCCTTCTGCTTTTGAGCATTGGGCAGGACTTTCAAGGACTGATGCAGATCAAGCATTGCATATCCCATTCACTTTGTTCAGTGACTCTTGGAAACCCATGGACTTCTGTGCAAGGAGCCCAGTGTAGAGTGACATCCAGTTCCAGCTCTGCTGCGTGTGCTGAGCAAGGCAGTTGGTTTTATTGCGCACCACTGATCCCTTCCCTACTATCTGTATATCTTTGCTATTGAGTTGCTCAGGAATTGCTTCTTACTTTGGATTTGCCCTGTGCTTAGCTGAAGGAGCTTTTGATGGAAGCCAGGGATTTAGGATGCTAGCAGCACACTGTGCTACAAGAAAAAAAGTTTGCATATGATGAAATGACAGAGTGAATGAATCTGATAAAAGGCTCTTAAATCATTAATTCAAGCCATGCAAAATTAAGAAACATTTTAGCAATAGCAGAAACTGTGTTAGGGCCTTATCAATTTCAAAAAACCTCTTTCTTAATTGTCTTCACAATATTGCTACTTTTGGCTGTTTGTTGTAAAGGGATATTAGGAAATTAATATTTTCAGAGTCACCAGTGGCTCACAAACAAGATTTTCAGGGCTCTGCCTTGTTTTCTCTACTTTAGTAATGGGAAAGCCTTCCAGGGATTTTCATTCCATCTTTTTACCCCAGAAAAGGGGCATCAGCTGATTTTCTGAAGCTTTCAGAGATCATCTACCTAGAGAAGAAAAGGGACTGAGCAACACTAGGGACACATCATCAATACGAAGCTGTGATACCTGCATGGATAAGGCTACCAGATTAAGTCCTCATTTTGATCCAGGCTGCTTGGTCAAGGTCAGCTTCCTCAGAGGACGCAAGCCCAAAAGGGATGGTCTCCAGGGGAGGTTTGCCCTCTTCAGCCATCCCTGTGCTCCCATATCCCATCTCTGGGAGCTTTGATGTGCACCTCATGGGGCAGCCATCCTCACAGCACAGGTTCACCAGTCCCTCAGTGCAAGGTTTGTGGGAGAGATGTGTCTATGACCAAGCAAATGGCTGCTTGTGGATTCTGTCACTTGCCAGAGGTTTGATACTGCTATTCTTGCACTCACCATCAGAGCAAGGGACTTGGTTGATACGAGGCTTTATTTGTAGGAGGGCCATTTGTGAATGTTTAACCATGTCCTAGCTGAGGCCAAGCCTCACGGAGCAGCACCTTAGCTGCTGAGCTTCGTTTCAAACCACACAGCATCCATTTGCATTTCTTCTCTCAGCTCCATCCAATACAGCACAAAGACACAACCAATCTTTCTCAAAACAACTGGCTGATGACCTCCTGCTGCCTTTCCTTTGCACTAAAATCCATTACAAAGCATTCTCTTAGCTTCTGGGAACACTGAGAGCCTTCTTATGTCAAGAAGTTAAATCTTGTTACTCAGCTGGGATTAATTTCCCTCATTTAACACCAGTGCTTTTGATCCCTTCCTCTTAAAAAAATTATGCACCAAAGCTAAATCATTCTTGTCTTCTTCTTTCCAGACAAGGAAGAAGAGACAAGGAAAATGGTTGCAAAGTCTTGCTGGCTCACTCAGCTCTCTTAGTAGAGGCTTGTTAAATTCTTACAGAGGACAGTCTAGTCCCAGGGTAAGAGATCACTTTTTGTGCACCAAAGGGGTGTCATTAGGCTAAATGTTAGGTCTGAGATGGGATCTCTTAGGTAGGAGTCAAAATAAAGATTAGGATGGTGAATATTTAATACTGAGGCTCTGGCATTCACCAAGCCGATGGCTAGGTAGCCAGTTATCACTCAGCTCCAATACAAACACGTTACTGGCCACGTTTATTCCTCACCATCATTAGTCTGGGCCACTCTTAGCTTATCTGGTTTGTCCTCTTCACAGTCTGATGAAACAACAGGCTCAGCTGACTGACATGTTTAACTAAGTCAGCCCTTCGATGCTGGTGCAAGCACAGCACTGCCAAAGCAACACTGCAAACGCTGGACCTGAAATTCCTCCCATAGTGATCACTCAATGAAAAGGTGAGCTGGAAGAGGAAATAAACACACATAAATACTTCTCTGAGGAGGGTCAGTGATGGGTTTCAAGTCATACCGGATGAAGTCATTATTTACTGAAGGCTGTAATAGATTTGTGGTCGCTACCAATTGTGAAACCCATCCCTGGTATCACTCTCTCAGAGCTGGTGTAACAAAGTCCTGGGAAGCTGACTGGCCATGACATGAATGCTGTGCCCTGAAGAAAGAGGGAGCTGCATGTTTTTGAGGTAGTTTCCCCATCATCTCCCCACAGTGGGGTGGGAGATGATGGAGAGTTCTGGGAGAGCCTCTGGAGAGGCTGCCTTTCCCCAGCATTAAACTGGGCTAGGGGCTGCACCCTTACGCTACCTGGTGTTGGGGCCTCAGGACCCACTGAGATCCAGTCAGCACACCATCCCAGAGCATGTACGTGAAGCCCTTAGCACCAACATTTCACTCCAAGGATCATTCACATAAAGGAGTGAGATCAGCACAGTTTGGACGAGACTTTATTCCATGTAAAGGGATCAGCACAGAGTATCCAGGCACTCAGTGTTATCTCTGCTTGTGCTTCACGCCTGCTTTCCTTATGAAGCACCAAGCCCTTTCTTCTCCTAAAGCACTGCTCATTTTGTGGTTTTCATGTTTCTGATCTGCTGCAGCAGGTCAGACATTAGAGTGAGGCTGACTAACAAGATCATGAAGTCTTCAAAATCAATTTTGTTCTCTGGCTCCTCATCCAGGGAAGAAATGATTTCCTGGTATTTTGGTTTGTTTTCTTGGCCCTATGGATGATTTTAGATGGGAAAAAAAAAAAAAAAAGAAAAGAGAAATTAAAAAAATATTAAGAAGTTCCTGTTTTATTGCATCATACAAAAAGACACCTATATAAAAATCTGTGTATTTTCCTATATTCCCATTCAGGTTTTTATGCCCACATTCATATTAGTTTTTCTAAAGGTATCCCAAGAAACTCAAACAGAAATATTATTGTAATCAGACAGGAGAAAAACTGGTCCTCAAAGGTTTCCACCCACACCCAGAATACATCTTTAAAGACACCTCATCATAGCTGAAAATCTGGCAGGGATGATGCTACAGCAGGTAACTGCTGAGAAAAATGGAGTCCTGTGTCTTGATGAAACCAACCCACCCTCCTACCTTCATGTTCAAGATATTTCTCATATATATAGTGAACACTTCAGAAACTGTTGATTTTACATATGTAACTTCAGTAGCTCTATTCTCTGCCCTGTTAGACATTACTGTTGAAATGGAAGGGATTATTAACAAGTATGTATCATGTCTGTTATTCATATTTCTTTACACATAAAAGAAACAAAACATCACAAACTCCAGATTTGATTGGCTATGGAAATTTTTGCATCATTTTCCACAAGGAACCTATATTCTAACCAGCAGCTAATTCCCCCTTCCCAACTGGTCACATTATTTTGTTATTCTTGGAAGCAAAGGTATCGTCAAGAATGTCCTAAACATCTAATTTACTCAGTTGAGCTCTTTTTACTAGTCCTGCGGTGTTTTTCCTACCACCTTGAACGCTGCCAGGGATGGAACATTCACTGCTTCTCTGGGCAGCCTGATCCAGTGCCTCACCACCCTCACAGGAAAGAACTTCTTACTTATATCTAACCTGAGTACCAGTATAGCTGTTTCCCACCATACTCAACTGCCATAAACACCCCGGGTGGGTGACTGATGGAGAGGTGCTTTCTGCTCCCTTACTCCCAGCAGTCCCACCAGCGACCACAGTGTTGCAGCTCTGCAGCACTGGGCTGGCTCTCCTGGTACCAGGCCAGTGCTCTGGCAAACTACCAAACATCTCATTAAATGCCATGGGATGTCAGGGTGAGGGGGAATGGCTTTAAACTAGAACAGGGTATATTTAAATTAGATCTTAGGCAGAAGCTCTTCCCTGTGAGGGTGCTGAGGCGCTGGCACAGGGTGCCCAGAGAAGCTGTGGCTGCCCCATCCCTGGCAGTGTTCAAGGCCAGGTTGGACACAGGGGCTTGGAGCAAGCTGCTCCAGTGGAAGGGGTCCCTGCCCATGGCAGGGGTTGGAGCTGGATGAGCTTTAAGGTCCTTTCGAATCCAAACTATTCTGTGATTCTATGATGGTTTCTTCTCTTCATAAATACAGTCTCTTGTCATCATCTAAGGTTTTTTGTTTTGTTTTTCTCCCCAAAATCCATATTTTCTTTTAAGAAAACCCCACGAACAAGCACATCAGTTTATTGTGCCTCTCCTCTTTTAGCCTTGTGTTAGGTTCAGTGTCAGCATAAAAGAGCTAATTCACCAGCAGTGTTCATACCAAATCACTGAGGTCTCACTTGACATCGCCTCATGGAGTGATGCCCTGGTGCAGAACAGAGCCTGAGGTGCCATTTCTACACCCAGATCACCCAGCCAGTGCCACCCCACCACCACCCTCTTGCCCACAGTTCCCCTCACCTGTATGAAACGCCCAAACTGGGTTTGCAGCAAGCTTTTGGTTTCACCTTTGCTGAGCTTGCCCTCAGGGTCAGCAGAGTTGTTATACACCAAAGCCACTGTAGCAAAAGCTTTCTCAAGGTCTGAGCCTTTTCCTAGAGCTGGAGGGGGAAGTTACCAGACTATCAGAAAAAGTGGCATTATAATTTAAAGGAATCTGTCAGAACCATCCTGAGTGGGTGGGAATCTGTGTAGTTTAATTAAAGTTAATGAGACTGAAACTGTTTATACCCACAGAGGACCTGGTCCAGATTTTATTTGGAGTGGGACAGCAACACACTTCACGTCCCATGGAAACACACCCTGACAGGAAGCTTTTGGGGCAGCAATGCAGGGTGACACATGAGACCCATCAAGTCTACTCCTACCCCTCTTATCTTGCATCAGCTGAGGGTCTGCGTGGCCTCTGCAGCTCTGCTAAATCACCAGATTTACTGGCCGAAGAAGACTTGAACCCAAAGAGGCAATGAATCGGTCCCCTTACCTTTTATTGATGCCAGCTGCTTGGCTATGGGTATGCTGGTAGGGAGAGAGGAGAGGCACAGTTACCACCTGGTGAATTGTGTGCATATATAGTTTCTCCATGAGTAAGCTTGCTCATTTCTGTTTCATTTAATCCCCCAGAAACTCGGGGCTTCCCAAGGGAGAGCAGCTTTTCTTCCCAACTGAAAGGAAGGTGGTCTTTACAAGCAGCACTCAGCATCACGCAGCTCCTAATTCCTCGCCTAAGCAAGGAGCCTGAAGTTGTTATTGAAGGTGCTTATTAAATAATTTTCAGACAAGGGCATTGCAACAGCCTTTAAACAATTTCTTTAGAACTTGAAAGAACTTCTCAGTTTTAAGCCTGTCCCCAAGGAAGAACAGAGGGGTCTATCAGCCCCTGCTCACCAGTGCTCCCAGTTTGGAGCAGGCATGCAGCTTTTACTTCCAGCAGGACTTACATCAGTGAGCAGGACCTCCCTGCTTCCTATTAAAACATAGAGCCTGCTTACTTTAGCTAAAGGGCTAGAAATAATTACAGAGCAGCCAACACACAGTGGAAGATTTTGCTTGTAATGGAGGCAAATACATCTAGATAATGAACAAGTCAAATGGCATATTCCCTGAAATACAAAGAGCAAAATGACGACTTACCGCTTGGACATATCTGCTGCAGCCAAAGGGCTCTTTTTGGTAGGTGCAGGAGCTGGGTTATTGTCCAAGCACTCCTTTGTACTGGAGACACTGGCTCTGCAGCCACACATCTCAAAGCCAGGGTGTTTGTGATCTCTAAGCAACTTGAGTAATAGCAAGCAGGTGAATTCAAGCTCTACCCTGTGGAAGCTTGCAGCCCTGCCTTATCAGTAACGGAAACACTACCTGGTGATCATGGAGCTGGTTAAACACATGGGTCTAAAGCAGCCCCTGTTGACAAGTAGCATGGCTTTGATTTGATGTGAGAATTTGACAGAAACAAGCCAAATTAATGGAACCTGAATCCTCTTAGATCTGTAGGGATGTAACTGCATCAGGAATAACTTAAGAACCTGGATCCATTGAGCTATACACATTGTCATTTCAATGGGAAATGTTTCTAGTGTAGGCTAATGTAGCTTGCCCAAAGCTATAAAGTGAGTTGTTCCAATAGTCAGATATCCCATTTCCTGACCCAGCATTTATCCCAGGTGAGCACACTCCTGCTCTAATATTTATTCCCCAGTGCAAAGCAAAGAGATCTGTTCTTCCTCTGGATCTCTTGCAAAGCATCATCCAGCACAGAGCCTCTGCTTTGGTTTCTATGTGAGTGGTTACTACCTGCTTCCAAAAGCAGCATGGAGCCATATGGCAGAGCAGTCGCATGTTGAGGAACTGGAAGAGCTCTGATGAACTTTGTTATTTATTGGCATGGATATTGCTTTTAGAAAACACACATCTTGTCACACTGCCTATCTCCATGCACGGAAACCCAGAGGTGTCTAGATGGGATAACTTGGATCTAAAAGACCAAGCAACCCTTTTAATCCCAGGGTGGTCTGTTAATAGGCAGTGACTTCAACTAGCTCACCCAACTCATCATTCCTAGTGAAAGAATACAATGCTGATGCTAAAACTACCCAGGATGAGACTTTATGTAACAGGACACGCAAAGGAGACTGCAACAGATGGCCTGGAGAATTAAAATGTTTTCCTCAGTTAGTAGGAGCTAAATTACTGAAGACTAATGAATAAGGATGTTCACCACCTTACTGTTCCTGGATTTTAATTATCTTAAAAAGCATGGGAAAAGAGAACCTTTAATTTTCCATCTAAGAGTGTCATTACTCAAACAATTCAGAGCCTTTTTCTGAGAGGTTTAAGCTGTCTTAGATCTCTAGTGCATTCTTTAGGACTGGCTCATGAATAAAACAGAGCCTATAATTGCAATGACGCAGCCAAAACACATATAATCAATGCTCATTATCCCATCAATTAACACACTAAAATTAAACAAGAATTCAGGCTTAGTAATCTGCCATCAGCTAGAAAAAAAAAAAAAAGAGAGTCTTGATATCATGTTGAAGTGATAATTCCCTTTCACATCTGTTGAACCATACAAGGAGGCATGAAAAGCCTTACATCCTGCTTAATCCGCAGGATGGTGGTGGCTGCTCTTAGCGTCCAAGGTAAAAATGAGAATGAGAGGCAGGCTCTGTTGCATGTTTATCAGCTACAAGCAGTGCTGTGAGCTGGCTGCAAACCCAACCCTCTGTGTTTTGGGCTTTTTCCACTGTACATCAGATTTCAGCTCACAGCCTTTTTAATCTAACCGACTCCTGAGAACCGGAGCTCTAAACCAGATGATTTGCTTTGCTTAGGTAGTAACAAGTTCAAACAAGCCCAGGGTGTATTATGCCTCTAGGATACACTAATCAACGTATGCAGGAGTGTTAACAGATAAAGAGTAGCATGAGGATAACCCTCGCCTTTGCAGCTGATCAGCTTCAAAGATGGCAAGATTTTGGCTGTATGTGTTGCTCGAGTATTCTGGTCAGCAAGGTGTGCAGGGAGTCAGGCCATCTGCTCTGTATCTATTTTTATGCACACTATTTATGTTTGAAATATCCAGGTGATCTTATTGGTCAATTTTTATCATGTTTCACACATTAACAATATTGTCTGCCCCAAATAAGCAACCTGGCACCTAAAACTGCTAAATCTGTACAGGCAGTTCACTTAAAATAATTGCCACTACAAAAAGCTCAGCCTCTGCTTCACTTTTGATATTTCCCCAGAGTTTTCTCACCCTTTTTAAAGTACTTTGTGCAATTCAGGAAGTCTTATGTTGCGAAACAATTGTGTGTGATGGAGCCCTGGCTCCCTTAGAGATGACCCTACAGCACTGGGCAGGTGTGGGCATGCCCAGGGCAGGAGGCACAGAGACACAAGGGAATTCCTAAACCAGGAGTTCCAGTCACACCATTAACTGCCCAGACTGCATTCCTTCAGCTGACCCTTCAGCAGATGCAGAAGTGATGCTAACTTGCATGCAGGGAGGAAAAACACTTCCATCCCTGGCAGTGTTCAATGCCAGGCTGGACAGGGCTTGGAGCAACCTGCTCTAATGGAAGGTGTCCCTGCCCATGCAGGGGTTGGAACTGGATGAAGTTTAAGGTCCCTTCCAACCAGAACCAGTCTGTGATTCTATGATGATTCTATGCATAGCTTGATTTCTTTGTGACCAGAATATGGTAGTTCTGATCTTACGTGATATGTGTACTTTATTTCCAAAGAGCCAAGACTGAGAAGCCCCCCCCACATCATCTTAGCCCAAAACAGAACTGGCTGTCACAGCCTAATACCACTTTCCTTTTGCTCCATCCCTGTGAAATCAATTACTTAACATGGGGAAAGCTAGCAGAAGCAGCAGGTCTAATGTGCTCGCTGCGGCAGGTCTCCAGCCAGTGGTACCTGTGGTACCCCCACTGGGGAAGGACCACCTTCTCTTCTGCATGGTGGCATGCAAAGAGAAGACACAACCCAGCACAGATCAATGGAGGATTTAACCAGCTGTAGGGATTAATGTCCCTACTGCTGCAACAAGCAGTCTGCTTTCCACAAAGCTAAGTGAACAAACGGTCACTGTACCCCTCTGGTCACAGAGCCCAGCTGGCTCTTGCTCACCAGTCACTGGTTTACCCATGTTAACGTACTGCCAAGCATCCTGAGGAGGAGGATAAATAAATTGGTCCAGGATGATAAATAAAATCATAATGTTTCCTAGTCATTTGTTTCTCCATTGCCATGCCTTTGGTGTGGATGCTGCTGCTGCTGCTTCCATTCATGCTGGGGTTGCTTAAGTGATGATCTGTGTGTCCCAGGAATATTTTCCTCTTGGACATCATCATTTTATAAAGAATATCTCTTCATAGTCAATTTGATTTTGCCCAAGGGTGAAATCTGCACCAGTGTTTACCTGCCTCAGTCGGGCTGGGTGCAGTTTGGTGACTGGTGCCTGATGATGAAGCTGGGACCAGCGCTTCTCTGGGTAATGCCAAATGCTGGCATGCTCGATAGGTCTGTGCAGGGGTTGAGGTCTGTGCATGGTCAGCCCATGTTCCCTTCCACACACATACGAGATAGTTCAGGCTGACATTTACCTCTGGGGTCATGAATGATTGAAATATGAATCCTATTGCTGAAAAAAGAGCAGGTAAAATGTCATTTAAGAAAAGCCACTAGAGCTAGCCTCTCTGTGGGGAAACATCATTTGGCATCTCTTATCCAGGCATTTTTGAGACATGGTACAGCACTTTGGCCAAAATATGCTCGTGCCTTGTATGGGGGCTGTCACGGAGCACAGTGGCTGTGGGGATTCCCTGTGTGCAAGCACCCAGCTCTTCCAGTTTCTATAACAAGGATGAGTCCAGTGTTTTTGGTATAGCATTCATTTTCAGAAGGAGGCCTGAAAATACACTAACAGAATAATTTCTCCTTTGAGCAATGTTTTATTATAGGACGTTTAGACTTTAAAAAGACAGCTATAAAAACTTAAAATGTTATTAAAGAAGAACACAACAAGAAAAATGCAAGAAATGAAACTAGTAGATAAATGCAATAAATGGGGTGCATCCCTGCTGAACTATTAAAATTTCACATTGAAATGCTAAGGTCTCCATACTAAGGATGCATGGCATTGACAAATGATGGGATGATCAGCACCAGATATTAATACTATCCATTCACATTCATAAAGATTTTGACTCGTATCTGACTTAAAACTAGTAGACAGAAGACTAAACGCTTATGACATGATATGGCATAATAGGGGAAGAACTTTTCCAGAAAGGATGGAACAACACTTGGTACTTTCTACTCAGTATTTCTTCATCTGTCTGCAACATTAATTGTGAAACTCTGGAGATGATGTCAGGAGCAGACTACACGCAGGTGCAGTGTGGGTTGCATGCGACTGCCTCTGTCATCAGTACATCAGCATTGAGCCAAGAATACTTCAGGGCTAGAGCCCGAATTGCTCATTCAAATTGAGAGCACATACAGATTGGAAATAATTAACCTAATCAGGTCAGGCAACTGCAATATGAATTCATGCAATAGGAGCACAAACTTCCTCCAAGTCCTGGCCATCACTGAGGCTCTGTTATGGGCAGTTCAACAGCCATGGTGAAGGAGATTTAGTCAGGGAAGTATTGCACAATAAGAAAATACCTTGTCTAGTGAAGGCACAGCCCTGTGGGCTGGATTTGCATCTGAACTTCTCCTTGGCTCCTTGATGTGCTGGGCAGGGAACAAAGCAGGCTGCAAAACCACTGCATTCCCAGAGTCATGCTCCCTGCTCTCCCCGCAAAGGGTATGATGCTGCAGCTTCGCAAAAGTGCATCCCTCCCCAGGCAAAAGCAATGGGGAAACCCTAAGCCGAAATGTGAGCATGATTCCTCTTGCTTGGCTTCTGAGTCACCTGGAGAGAAAGTCCTGTGCTTCCACTTCCTCTGCCACACTCTCAGAGGTACCGGAGAGTACACAGCTCTCCTGCACATCTCTAGACTTGATAATGCAAATATGCTCCCATCCTGGGTAGCTGAGAAATGGGCTATAAAGAGAAACACATGGGAAAACAGGAGGGACAGCACACAAGAACAAGGAACATGCTTTTTTTTTCTCCCAGGCTGACCTAGTTATTCAACTAACTGGCAGAGATACACACTAATGATGAAGTGGGAAAGCAATCAGCCTGCCAGCAGCAGTTTCACAGAGGATGCTCAAGTGTACTTAGCTATTTGTCTTAAGCCCAGGAAACATCAAATACAGGCTTTTCCATCTTGCAGCTCAACACTTTGCTATACCGTCACTATTTCTAGTTCAAATAAACCTCCAATTTCTCAGTGATTGCCAAAGGATGTGATAAGAGTTGAATCCAGGAGAACACAGAGGAAACATTCAAATACACTCTCTTATATAACACAGGCAAGTGCATGCCTCATTTTTATTCTCACTGTTGCTACTGTTATATACTATATTATTATGAGAAGCTATAGGTGAAGAGATTTTTCATCATTCCTAATTCACAGTGAAGACTATAGCCCCCAAATTATAACAACCAGCTCAATTGTTCTGCTTGGCAGCAAGGAGCTGAGGTACCTGTGAAGATGCAAGTAAAGCAACGGGCAAGTCTCCCATGAAAACAAGCACCTCTTTCACTGCTTTTGTCAACTTTTCGACCAGCTGTGCCCTTCATGAGAAAATCTTAGATTTTGAGTTACACAAATAATACCCCAAATAAGTAATTCTGGCCCGGATCTTGTATTAGAAATGCTCTTTCTCCAGGGGTGGCAACTCCTAAGGGTTTGAAAGTTGCAGTTCCTGTGCTCACAGAGTTACACAAGAATTTCAGCTTGTTTGAAATGCAGGAATAAACCTAAGCAAAACTCAAGTTTCTAACTCTCAGCATTGCATAGGAAAGTCTGGAAATGGGACCATGTTGATTTGGGTGGAAAAGTTCATGAAGAGAAAGCTAGTTGACACAAAAAGCTCTATTTCTAGTGGGGAGGCTTAGCTAAACCTTGGGATATTCCTTATTAACTAATAGAAAGTGGATTTAAAAGAAAAAAAGTAAGACTATGTGGGAGGGGGCACAAAGAGCACACATTCCATCCCCATCTCCTGCATGCACACAGATTTCATTTTCTCCTGGCTTACTTTTATCAAACTTTACCAAAACATAAAAAACCAAAGAATAAAAGAACTGAGACCCAGAATTATTTTGTCATTGACCTAGAGAATTGTATTTGCTCCCATTTGGAATACCAGGACATTGAGACATTCCAATATATATAGTTTGTCCTCTCTTAAGCTGAAACATGGCTTCCCAACAATACACAAAAGTGGGATACTTAAGCACAGTGCTAGGCTAGTCTTACTGACAGGTAGAAAGAGATTTAAAGAGGCGGGGAGGTATTAAATTGAACAGTTTTAATTATTTTGTATTCAACTTATGATGTTGACATTTAATGACCAGTGTCTGTAGAAGTGTTGTACTCCACTGTACATTAAAATAATCCTCATTAAAGTGTTGGAAAACAGCAAGAATATGACCAATAAGGTCAAGCACAGGAATAGTTATCTATCTTTAATAGTTATCTTAGGTATTTTGCAGAGACATTTTAATATTAACATACTCTGAAAACATGCATTGTATGCAATAACTTTATTAGGATCAAATAGATATCACAATATAGATTCATCCACCAAGTAGCCATAAATTGGTTACAACAATCATGGAAGAGACTAAGCTGTTTTAAGCTAAGATGCTTTCAACATTACAGCTCATACAATAAGATTATATACTGATACACTTTGATTTAGAAATGCAGATGATCAGTTTTGGTTAGTATATTGTGCTTCAGGCTTTCATTTGTGTCAATGCGTCTCATAAGCTGTAGTGAGGAAGGGATGAATTTCCCAGAGAGAGATCCAAATGGGCTACAATTCTGGCTTTGGCTATTTTAGCATGAGTTCCTCTGAGCCTGGGTTATTTGGTCAGTCCAGTTACATTCTGCAGTAGCACCAAGCTAATGCTCAGAGCAGTAATCTAACAGAGGGAGATCTGACAATCTTCAAACGGCATGGATAGAAAGGTTTTGATACTATAAGAGGGCATAAAGGAATATTTATGCTTTCTAAGGTCACAACAATACATGTGATTTGCATGTTTTGCTGTATTAAGCAACAGGGCATTTTCACATAGATTTGTATACTGATATCTGCACCTCTGTTATCTTAGTTAAATAGATACCTTTGTAAACATATAACACAGTTACTTGGTCCTTAATTGTCCACAGCTCACGTTAAAAGATTCACAAAACATCCATAGAAATAGTGATTTTATAGAATGAATACTTAGCTGAGTTAAATGGAATAAACATTGGTCAGGTACCATATATACTACTGAATGCTATTTCAAGGAAAAACATTTTAGTTACAAAGCATTCAGAACTTGGGTAAGCCATATATTCAACTCTGCAAAATATATATAAAAGATGCATACTTGTTTTAAACATACATTTAACAAAATGTAGTGGCAGAAGTCGAGAAGTTCCATTTACACAGTCCAGACATTTGGTAGTATGAAACTGCTTATCCATGCACTGAATTACAGGTGTCTCAGATAACTGAAATAATAGTGCAATCTTCTGAACCCAAAAGGTATAACCAAAACAAACGCTCTGAAGTCACAAACAGGCATTTTTGAGAATTTAGGTGCAATGTTACATGCATGGATATACAGAATAATCTGTAGAAATAATAGTAAAACACTCTTGTTTTTCACCAAAATGCAGAAGGAAATTCAGTTTTATTATGCATATTAAATACTACAGACTTGAGGCTACAAAATGCTTCTACCATCTCAACACATACAAAACTACCATAAAGTTATCTCTACAGTACATACTACAAGACTGACTTCAGGTCACCACCAGTGATGAGCATACGCCCTGTATCTGGCTAGTCAAGGTTAGAAAAGGCCATCTCCAGCCCACTGGCAACTTCAGGAAGTACGCTTAGACCTTCCACCAACATTAAACACCATGTTGTAGTATTAATTTATGTAAAACCCTTAAAAACCTGGGACCACTGAAACTTGAGACCTTTTAAACTCTCTACACATGAGGGATACAAGAGCTTGTTCTGTGTGAACCCTATATTTGATTAGCAAAGGAGGTTGGCCCACTCTGGCCATAGCTCTGGGACTGACCATATTCACCCACCTGGCTGTAGGAGCCCGGCTGGTTGTAGCCACCAGCCGGCCCATAGCTGTCTTGGTTGTAGCCACCTTGGTTATAGCCACTGGATTGCTTCTCCATGGCGTCCTGAGCATGCCGCTGGCCCGAGGAATGCCAGCCTGTCTCCTTAAACACAAACCAAATGTTGCCTGCCCAGAGGATAAAGTTCAAGAAGCCAAAGACCTAAGAGGGAAGAAGAGGAGCTGGTCACCCAACAGCCAGGGTCTCACAGCCCAGCCTCATGTTATGGACCCTGCACCATCCTGGGAAAAGTAAGTGCTGCTTCGAGTTCATCTTTTGCCCAAAAAGTGCTGGAAAATCTTTTTAGCTTTGGAGCAAATTCCCAAATTCACCTCCCTTAACTCTATCTTACAGGGGGTTTGGTTTCCTTTTTGTTTCCATAAAAAAGTTGAGTTTTTAGGCCAAATATTTTTACATTTGTAAACATTATCTTGTTTAAAGAAACTATAGAAGATAAAATAGAAGGAAAATAACTTTAAAGTGAGATATTAATTGATCAGCTGCCGACAGGGGCTTGTTGTGGATGTTTTCTTTTTAAACATTCTGAAGATCAATTTTTTGTTGATTTTCAAGGATTTAGAAAATTTTAGGCACAAAACCTTCTCAGGGTTTGCAGGAGTTTCAGGTCCCCTTTCAAAGGGAGCAAGTTAAAAGCAGACAGGCCAGCCAATGCACTTTGCTTTCTCCCTATCCCAACCTTGCACGCTCATCTCACTGCTGCTCCACAGCAGATAGCTGTAACGAGTCAAGCTCTGCCTTTCCCTGCAGCAAGACTGTACTTCCAATTCAATCATGTCAGCTGACTGACACCAGCTGATTTAGGTCAAAACATGAGTAAAAGAGGGAAAAACACATTTGCAAGGTAAGGGTGAAAAATAGTGGTCAAAGTCACTTACAACCGAAGTATTGAGGCTTGACATAACAGGGCTGCGAACAGGCAAGCATTTGTTGGACTGCTGTTTGCAGGCAGACATCAGCAGCAGCACTTCTTCTGGGTCGGTTGCAATCTTTACATCAGACAGTCCTTTAGCCCAAGCAGATGAGCTCACTAGCCACAAGAATGAGAAGACCACTGTCACAATGAAATCCTAAAAGACAAATTAGTTAGAAACATTATACTGGTGTGTCCATGGGGAAGAAAATAACATTAAAAATCACCAGAAAACTGACAGATTGCATTAGAGGAGACAAAAAAAAACAAGACCAAGAGCTTGTTATCTTGTGGAAGGTTGTGATTTATTGTCATCATTTACAGAGATGATTTTCAGAAGTGCTAGACGTGCCTAATGGGACAGAACCCTTTCGCTACCATTTGCATCTCCAGCCTTGAGCCACATTCCCACAAACATGTGGCTGGTACCCAGGATGCTCTGCTGCCCTGGAAATTTGGCTATTCACAGCACCTGGCTGATGAATTGGGATCAGTTAAAAAATATAGATGCCTGGAAAGGAGCTGGGCCCTCTTGAGGGCTGGCTCTCTCCCTGGGGGCTCCTACAGACATCCAGGGGTGGTTTCCAATAGGAAACGTTTCCATCTGTGGCAGCATCACAGGGAAAACCTGAAACTGGCTAATCCTCAGCTATCAGATGAGGAGTTTTCTCACAATTACAGGTAAGGCCAAATGTCCCTGCTTCACGAGCCGTGCAGCCACTAATCATCACAAGTGAACGTATAAACAGCAAGACTTGCCAAGCACAGAGACTCCTCAGCTCCTCCCTGTCCTGGTAAAGCATTTGCTCCTAATTCCCATCCATGTGAAAAGAGGGGAGAAGGGGTAGTAGGCCCTCCAGGATCTAGCACCCCCAAGCAGCTCTGCTCTGAACCACTCTGCTTACTTTTCCCTTGAAAGACTTTCAGGAGCACACACAGGCATAAACTTCTCCCTGTCTTAGCCAGAACAAGTGGCCAAGTGACACTGTTGTTGTGTGGGTTTGGGGGGAAAGGAGGGAGGAGGTGTGATTTTTCAAGCTTTCTTGTGTCTTGCTAAAACAGAAGAGCCTTTCTGCTGTCATATTTCATTCCATCTGTCAGCCCACAGCAGATGGTAGAGGTGCCAAAGTCTAACGTACCACTAACTGCATTGCTGCGTCTTGATATCCCACCTCCCATGGGGGCTGCTTCCCCTTCCCCCTTACAAAGTGAAGGTGTACATGGAAGGAAGAGAAAACACTCATTAAGAACATAGCATTTTGGGTTGCTAAGCAAAGAAATAAGTGATCCCTAGGAAGTACTCTCATCTTCTACAAGCACACCTGACATGTGGGGAAGGAACTCTCCACAGCACTGCAGGAACGGAGGACATGAGCCTCTGTCATGATGGAAGAGGCACCAGTCAATAAACCAGTCGTGCAAGTGAGCCATGAACAAAGGATTTCTCTGCTCACGCAGATGGGATTAAATTAACTGTGCTTGGATGCTTTCCCAAAGGATACATCCTTCTCTTTTAACAGTGCCACAATTCTTTTTCTGCAGGCCTGTGTCTGCCACCAAGCTTTGAGGTCCTCTGACCTCCCTTCATGCTGCCCAAATGGGCTCTCTTGAAGAGCGTGAAGCCTAGGAGCTGACAACTATCTTAACACCCAAAGAGACCCCGTGTAGGCAGAGACATATAGCCCAAAGTAATTATTCTTCTTAGGGATATTTCCAGCAAAAGAAATTATTGTATATGTCCTGGCAGTAACTGACTGAGAAACAGAGTCCTAGAGGCAAGTGTTCAATTGCAAACATTGCCTAAATATTCCAGCTGGTAGAAACACCAGATACTCACTGAGCTATTATGATGGAATAACCTTTGTATTTGCTATGAGGCTTGGCATGTTATGGATGTCAAGCCCTTGTATAGGCTCTGATTGATACAACAGAGAGGCACACATCAGTGTTTTGGAGAATACATTTTTTAAATGCCAAGCGATTCTCCCTCAACGCCACTTCACTTTCAGACTCCGCCAGCTAAATCAAGCTCTGCAGTCAGTGCATTGGCAATAACAATAAAAAAGATGCTGAACAGCAGGTAGAAATTGGAAGCAGAGACAAACCGACCCAAACCAACAGAGTGTAGGAGCTTGAACTTGCTAAACAGAGGGAAGTTTTAAAAGTAAGCAAAGTTCTTCAAGCAGGAGACAGCAGCAAAGGTTTACCAGATCCTCACCCCATGTTGGTGACGCATTTGCACAGCTCACGGCACAAATGACTGCCATTTGCAAGAGTCCCTCACTCTAACTGCTAGTAGCTCATGTATCTACTAGAAACACCCAATAGCACTGAGCAGTTGAGGGACTGGTCCTAAACAGACTAAGTATTTCATCCTATTTCTCCATCTCATCCTCCAGCCTTCTGCTGACTTCCTCTGCTCCCCTGCACCAGGATGTCCACACAAAACCTAACCCTGACAAATCTGCCTCTAGTTTCCCTATTTGAGAGCAGATCAGAGCCTTGGGAAAAGTGTCCCTGCTTCTTGGGGGCTGAGATAAGCCCTTTTATACAGGAACACCCCAAAATTATGAAGTCTGGCTGGGTGCAAGATGCACACTAAGCCAAATACGAAAGATCACACATTGGGACTTAGAGAAGAAAGCATGCAGTCTGTCTACTAGCTGGCCAACAGCTGATCAAGAATATAAATTTAGATTAGAGGGATATTTAGATATCAGGTAGATTTGGATTAAATATTAGGAAGAGGTTGCCTGAAGAAGCTGTGGCTGCCCCATCCCTGGCAGTGTTCAAGGCCAGGTTGGATGGGGCTTGGAGCAACCTGCTCTAGTGGAAGGTGCCCCTGCCCATGGCAGGGGTTTGGAATTGGATGAGCTCTAAGGTCCCTTCTAACCCAAACCAGTCTGGGATTCCATGATTCCATAGGACAGAAAGGCCAATGAAACACCAGAATTTTTCCCACGGGTGCTCTCACCAAGCCTATGTAGCTGGACTCAGGCTCTTGAAGAATTTGTTCCATCTCCTGTGTGCTGTGCAAGAAGCAAAACCTGACTACAGCAAACTTGTGTCTTCCTATTTATTTCAAAAGTTTGGTAACCTTCAGCTTTGGCTGGAACTCGAACGTCTCTTGTTTTCAAGGGGGTTTGCATTTCTGGCTGAACACTTTCACAGCTCTGGGTGGAACAGAGTTACAAGATAATGACATGCTGAGAATAAAAGTGAATTTCAGGCTAAGTTGTTCTGTGGCTTAATGTCTATCTGGGGGATTTCTCTTGGTAATTAAAGCCAGAGCATCCGCATACTAAAACAAATCTTGCATTTGAATGTTTAATAACCCTATAGCATGGGCGAATTTTCTTTTTCCTTTGGAACAAAGTAATTTTTGTAGTTGCTCTCTTGAAACGGTGTCTACAGATCTATTCAGTGTGTATTGTTGTACAGTTAAGCTACACTCCTAATTGCAAAATTCCTTTCTCAGATCTCAGCTGGGATACTTTGGTCTGCCTACAGGTGCCTTTGGGAAGGAGGCAAAATAGGAGAATGTAGGAGAAAGAAGAAAACAAGATTTAAAATATGCTGAATATCCAAAAAGGGAGTTTTTAACAGCCTGAAGTATGTCTAACAAAAGAAAAAAAAAACACCAGAAAACACTCTTGTTGCCTTTTTCAAGTTGAAACTTGCTACAACTGAGTTTGCCAAAAATGCCTGCTTGGAAGAATTTTATATATTATATGTTATAGAATAGAACTGTGAATGCCTTTTCTTTTCATGATGACTAAAGCATTTCTCCTCACTATCAAGCTAACAGCTTTTGCAAAATGCCTGTCTCTGGAGGCGCAGACACTTAAGTCTCCTAAGCACAGTTTCAGATCCCCAGTGTCCAACACAATCTCAGCCAGCCAAAAGCATCTGCAGGAGCTGTTTGCTCACTCAGAAAGGGCGATGTGTTTCACCCACTCTGAGTTGGTTGGTGGATTCAGCAACCCCTAGTGTGCTGTAATACATGTCCCTGCATGCACTCCATGCCATGCCCTGCTCTCCCTCCCAGCCAAAGTGGCTCAAGTTTGGCACGACAGCCCTGGGCTGCTATGCTTGAAAACATGCAAAGACTCTGCTCTGGCTTGGCTGGAGGGCCCTGGCATCCCTGCAGCACTCACCCGCCCTCTTCCCTTGATCTACTGCAGTTGCTGGCCCCATAACTGGCTTCCACACAGGACTGTCAGTGCCTCTCCACAACGTTTCTATCCACTAATGTTCATGCTACAAAACCTTTTCACGTGACAAAACCCCATTGTGCATTCACAGCAAACAAGGGAAGAAAACAGAAGTCCATAAACTCTCCTAACCAGAGCATGCCTAGCTCGGCAGCACTGCCAACAGGTTTCATGGAGAGACATATGGGAATGGAAGGAGTTTTCTTTACCCCACCAAGCCCAAACTGCTCAGAAGATTCATTTTCACAGTCCAATCTGACCTAAAAATTCAAGAACAACCCCAGTGAGAGCCACAGTCCCGGTCTGTGAGAGTGGTCAACAGCAGGCTGCTGCAGGCAACTGCAGAAAGCAGAAAACGCCTTCCTACAGTGGCATTTTAGCTCTTTGTTGGTCTGAACAAGGTCCCACCCCACATTTTCTGCTGAATGAAGCTTTGGAAGAATTATATGGTAATTGCAAGTATTTATGGCTCTGCAAGCTTGCTTCTGGCAATGAAGTGCAGGGCCCTTTGGGAGGCACCAGCACGCACTGCAAGGTCACTGTGGTTTTGTTTCAGAAAAGAGATGAAAACAGTGGGCTGGAACAGCTCTTTGAAATGCAAAAAATTAGTCAGATTATTATAATTTCATTTTTCAACTGCAAAGGATTCAATCTCTGCTTTTACAGGTGGCTCTTTATTCTTTTCCTATTTATTTTCTGGGAAGCTGGGCAGAAGGGAGGAAACAAAAGATGTTTAATCAAAGGCATCTCCAAAGAGCAGACTAGAAGTGTACTTGGCTCACTTGGTCCACAACATATGTAAAGAACTAAACACTTTTTTGCTTAATGTGATAATTCACAGGACTCCAGATGCAAAGAAGATATCTCATCTTCTTACGTGTAAGCATCTTTATACACTGTAAAAATGAGGTTCTCACGAATTTGCTATAAAAATGAAATACCTCTTTTCAGGGCTATGTGAGTCATTTTGCTGAATCATTTTATGCTTTTATATTAGTTGATTGGAATACAAGTAAAGTGGTTTACATTATACATGAATGCGTGTGTTTTTCTCATGGCTAATCTATAACTTCCCAAAGACAAACCTGAAGGAACATAGAGACAGTTTCAGAGTGTGGGTTTTAAATGGAGCATATGGGGTACAGAAACTATGGAAAAAGTAAGAAGTCTGAGTGATGAGTGCACATTGCTGTGACTATTCTGTCCTTTATTTTTGCCACTCCAGACATATATGGAAGCATCTTCCTTTGATCCACTAAAACTTCAGCACAGGACTAACTGTTGGGTTGGTTACTCTCCACTTGCAAGCAGCTGCAAACATACAGATCCAAAGCAGGGCATCAAGACAGAGGTGCTTGGGGTGGCAGTCCTGGGGTGCCGCTCATCTCTGCTCTCATTGCAAACCAGCAATGTCTCCCCTGGATATGTAGTGTTACACAAGTGGAAAATAGATTCTGTTGGTCTGAGAGATGCAGATACACTAAAAACCGGTGAGGTTTTGTACATCACATTCATTAAAATTAAGTTGCCACCACCAATTAATTTATTTAAAAAGTTTCTGGCTCATTAGCACTCATCAGTCATTTAAGAGTTTAAGTCATTTAAGAGCTTGCACTTGTCCCCACAGCTCCTCACTGTACACGTTCATTGGGCAGGAGCTTGCAACTCAAATCCCAGCTGCTGTTTGCAGAGCTCAGAAGCACACTGCACATACCTATTAGGTGTTTAATCCCTGGTAAACTGCTCCTTGTTCCTTTAGGAATTGACAATAAAGGTCTTCTCTAATGTTTCTCTAGTATGAACCCCCTCGAATGATCACTCCATGGAGCCAGCGAAGCAAGTGGAGAGCACACATGGCAAGAACTTGGTGCTGACAGCCCTATGGGAAAGGAAGACTCCCACCTCCATCATGAATGAATAGCACAACAGGGAACCTCTGTGACCAAAAGGAAGATTTTTATCCCCAAAACCTTGCAGGCAATGTTAGCAAGAGACACGGCTCCCTGCACAGTGAATAAAACTCACCAGTGCCGTCCAAACAGCCATGGAAAGAGTTAATGCCTTCTCCTGCTGGAAATATTTCCTTGCCATGATGTCTCACTTCCCACCAAACATTAAAATATTTTTCCACAGTTAAAGTGATGCTTTGGTGAGATCTCAGCACATGCAGTGGGGTTTCCCTAGATCATGCATATCAAACAAGGCAAACCTGAGACATTTGTGACTGGAATGTTCTCTTTGTCATGACCTTGTGGTCATTAAATTCTTTATAATCATATATTCTGCATCCAGCTCGTTGTGCACTGATGGCCCTCTTAGTGCCTGCGCAAGGATTTTTTGGAAAAACACATGAAATCTCAAGTGAAAGGTTTTCTTTCCTCTCTCCTCTTCTCCTGTCATACTCGTTCAAATCCTGAAAATTCATCAGGAGGAAAGGCAGCCAGCTCTGCGAGGGTGCCACTTAAAGGCAGATGTCGTCTCAGACTGAGCATATCAAGCCAAAAGGAAACACAAGGCTTAACATGGGAATGGCTTTAAATATGAAATAGTGATCGGTCACTGCCACAGAAGCAAGGAAAGATGAAACTATAATCTTCTAGCTCTTCACTGAGAGGTGAAAGAATGGTAGTCTGGAAATGAAACTGCATGAAACACGGATCCCTCCTGCTGATGAAGGAGGGAGGGCTGCCCAGCCTCCTGCACTGACACATGTTGGGGGTGCTGGCTGGGCTCATGCAGGCACAAAAGCACCTCAGATTTCTGCAGCACTTTTCTTTGGGAGGGACAATCTCATGGGTGAGACATACTCACACTTCTGATCCGACACACGTGTGATCTTGCTGGGTACGTCAGCTCAGTGTAGCATCTGCCTGGGGCTGGAGGATGCATCGCCTGCCTCCCTTGCACAGCACATTGCATCCCTTAGGTGATGCCTGCAGCCATGGGAAGCTGGTTTTCACTCTGAGTTTCTCTTGACCCTTGAATTCCTCCAGGCTACAGCTGCTTGCTCTGGCTGGGGCTCTGAGTTTTCCCTGTATCTCCACTGAACAGTAGGACTCACACTGTCCCCCAGTCAGGCTGTGGTCCAAATGAAAAGGGGGCTTTCTCCTAAAAATACCCAGCATGACAGAGCTGGCAATACAAAGGAGGTGCAGATGAGACTCTCCTCCTGGCAGGCCTAGGCTGAGCATTACTCTCAACCACTTCCCAACACTACTCATCGGCAAGACCTGCTTTTACTGCAGGACAAACTCAAAAGCATCTTTTTATTCTGAATAAATAAGGTCATTTAGGCTTGGTTTAGAAACTGGGAAACTGCAAACAGAGGCTTTGGTAACAGACACTCGTTAAATTTAACCTGTAGATTCAATTACAATCCATTACACAGAACAAATTAAATCAATGTCACGTTAATGCTGTTGCAGACTGCACCGTACATCCTGTGACAAGCATGACTGCAGCAGCTGTATCTGGAAAATCCTAGACAACAGCAAACGGCCACATCATACTCTGACATATTTGCATTATTTTTTCTCTTGATTTTTCTTCTATTGCTTCACAGAATGATGTGGTTGGTCAGAAGAGAGAATTATTTCCTGCAAGAAGACTAAAACGGCAAATATCTGCAACTAATTCTTTGATGAGACAGTCTTGAAATGAGTTATTACTTGATACTAACTGCAACAAGCAGAAGCAAGCCACTTTATTTATTGCTTCTGTAGGGACCCCTTTATCTTGCTTGTTCTACCTCTCCTCTGTGAAGATTTCCCCTCCTTTCCTCACGATTTTCTAGGGAGAGAGGAAAGGTCCCAACAACCCCCAAAATGAAGAGGATTCATTTCCTTTGATGTGGAATGAGAATTTTTCCTTCTGTAACAATTCATCAGTTTTTAATTATGCAAACTTAAATAAAACAACTTACATCTCTTTGCAGCAGAAATCTTCCCCTAAATACCCCGAGCTAAGGTTACTTTTCTATGGTTAATTCTTTTGCTTATTGCTACTGCAGCTATTTCCTTTGACAGGTACAGCCTTTCTGAGCTGGTGACTTATTCGCCTATTATTTTTCTGATGCCCTGTGCCAGTGGCTTTCAGTCACTTAACGCACAAATCTCAGCCAAATGTCTGGTTTCTGTCAAACATAGACTTTAGATTTTTCTGAAATCCAGGACTGACTCTTTCCTTACATCAGTGTTCACTCATCTCCCCACACCTTCGCTTGGAATTGCTCTCTCTATACCAAGACTTCAGAGGAACCTTTCCTCTACCTTAGTGTAACCTCATCCTTGCAACCTTGGAGGAGAGGGTTACCTGTGGAAGGAAGAGCATGATGTAACCCTACAGCCCATAGATGCAGAGACCTGACCCAACTTCAGCGCAGTGGAGGATCAGCACTCAGCCCTGAGCAACTGAGCAAGACAGGGGTGTATCATGGGGTGTGATGCACTGACAGGTAATGGACACCTAGAACAAAATAGCTCTCACTGGCTTTACAGTCTTGATTTATGAGAAAACGAATGCACAGTGGCACTTGTTTTTTTTACAGAATCATATTGTAGACTGGTTTGGGTTGGAAGGGACCTTAGAGCTCATCCAGTTCCAACCCCCTGCCACAGGCAGGAACACTTTCCAGTAGAGCAGGTTGCTCCAAGCCCCTGTGTCCAACCTGGCCTTGAGCACTGCCAGGGATGGGGCAGCCACAGCTTCTCTGGGCACCCTGTGCCAGTGCCTCAGCACCCTCACAGAAAAGAACTTCTTCCTTAAACTCTTCTTACCATGAGCCTCAGTAAATCAGAAAGAATCAGTAAAAAGAAAAATAAAGGCACGGACAGCTGCAGGTTGATGGGTGCAAAGAATGATAACTGGAAAATGAGTGTGGCCTCATAAAGAAGCACAGAGACACAGATGTGCTGGGAGCTCAGTGTAATATTGGAAAACCAGCCACACAACTCTCCAAAGCAAAATAATCTGGCTGAACCCAGCAGTAATAAGCAATAAGCAATCTCCCTGGCTGGGCTTTGGTCAGAGGCATGGTTTCGTTTGTCTGCTGGGTTGATGCCCGAGATCTCCTCTTCCCTTTTTTCCCCACCTGTGAAGTTCTGCTGTCACAGACACATGGCTCAGACCCCAATCATGCCACCACGCACCAACTGTTCACTTTTTGTGTGAACTTCACTGCAGGCAGTAGGAGAGAAGCAGAGAATCCCACAAGTACATACAAGTTTAGGAGTATATTTGAGCTGCATATAGTTTATGTTACCCTGTTAAAAGTTTAAATAATCATTAAGATAAAAAACCCAACAGGTGAATGCAGAGACGCATTGGGCCACTTGGATCTCCCAGACCCCACCATAGCCTCAACCACCAAAAAAAGCAAAAGGTTAAGACCTACACCAGAAAACACTGCAAACGCACACTTACAATGAGAGGGCCTCTGTTGTTTTCACGGTACTTGTTCTGGAAGAAGATATAAACCACGGTGGCAGCCAGCGAGTAGAGGAAGGCGAAGACTGCAATGGTGACAAAGAACTCTGCTGAAGAGGAGAAGTCCCCTATCAAGGAGAGCCTTTCTCGGCGCTTGCCTTCACAAGTGGGAGCATCGAAATTCACTTGATGCAACCTGGAAAACATCCCAAAGAGCAGCAGGTGAAGTAGAGAAAAAGGAATCCTATCTCAAGAGATATAAATACTTTTGTTCTGTTCTCCCAGTCTCATTCCTGATGCACGTTGATCTCCTGCTAGAATAACTGGCCCTGTAAGTTGTCTTGTGGGCTGTGCTTTTCAGAGTTGCTTGTACATGTGAGGTTACTTCCATGTGAGCATCTAGGTGAGACTGAGGACCTGAACACATCTTTTGATCAACCTCAGAGGAAAGCTGATGTTCCAACAGCTTGATACAACCCTCCCCCCATTCCTCCCTGAGGTTTTACCATGGCAACAACTGAAAAAGGATAACATGAGGAATTATTTGATTCTTGAATTCCTACAATCAAGGCAGCATAAAACAAGTCTTATCCTCTAACCTAGGCCCATGAGATGGCTGTGTTTGGAAGTTCATGACTTCCTTGTGTAAAATTGCCTAGTGTGCCTGTTAGCCACACAGGACTTCTACGTTAAAAGCTTTTAAAACCAAGCTGCAACAGAAATATGCAGCTTGGGTCAAAGGAACAGTCCACATGCCCTGGTTTAAGCAACCAAAGCACTAACCTTTTGAGCCCAAACACAGTTTTTGCAATCAGTGACCTAGCTAATAGATTTGTGGTTCTGTTTGGCAACTCTTGCCTTTTTTGCTGCAGTAATTCTAATTTCTGATTTAGAAAGGGGATCCTTGGAGTGAATGCTTGTTGCACAGCCCAGATTAGCATCAGTGGGGACATGGGTCCCAAAGGGGGATCACACTGTTCTGCTCCACACAGGTGATGAAGCAAGCAGCAAGTTAACAGCAGCAATTAAAGAAGTTATGATCTGATGCAGAGAAAGGATGAGGCCTCCTGGGAAACATTTGTCTGATCAAGAGCAATTACTGTGTGCAACAGCGGGCCATGAATATATGACTAAATAAAAAGTTAGGTCCCTTGAGGAAAACAAAACACCCGCAGTAGAAATCACAGAAGATGGATTAATGGACATTGGAGGATTGCATGACTTTCTGCGTTTCCTGGTCCAAACTAAATGTACCCAAACACATAGGCAGAACCTTTTCATAAGCAGCTGATGCATAATGCTAATTATTTGCTTCAGGCATTTTCTTCCCCAAGCTGTCGCTATAGTAAATGGGGGGATGAAAACATGGAAAGAATCTGCCTTGACACTGGAGATGAGCAGTGGCCTCTCACAGAAGCAGCACTGCCTCCCCTCCGTGAACCCAGCAAACTCTGAACACACAAGAGACTCTAATGCTCATGATCAGGCAGTTTCCTGACTTGGTTTCCAAGCTTCCTGGCATCAGTCCACACACTCTTTTTGTCAGGGCTTATTGTTCTTTCCTCAAGGGCGAGGGAGAAAAGGGTAGTAAGATTTCCTAGTGCCTGTCATGCCAACTTTGCAGCCTGTAAAGAAAGTTGTTTTGTTTTACCCATCAGCAGGATTATGGGAAGATTTGAAACGCATGATTTGCATGGCCTGAAAAGAAAACTTTCTCTGCTTTCCTCATGCACAGCTGTTTGGGTACTGTATTGACACAGAACAAAACTGGGAACCTTGCTCAAGATCCCTTGAAAGCAGTGGTACGCTCTTGTGTGGATCAGTAAGAAACTCTGCCCCATCCCTCTTTCCCCCTGGGAATGCAATGCTGTGCAGCCAGCTGCTGAGCTCATGGGCCTCTTTAGGTCTCTCCAGGGCTTGAGGCTGGGTTTAAGTGAGGTTTCACACCGCACCCAGCCCATGAGCAGGGATGATACCTGTGGTAGTGTGCAGAGCCAGAGCTGGGGACCATGCTGTGCTCCCACCCAGCAGCAGAGGCAGGGTCTCCACATCAGCCCAGACTTTGCAACTCAACACAAAGGCCTTCAAGGTCAGGTGGATTTTGTTTGTTTCTCTCCTTGTTGGTTGTTTTTCTCCCTCTTTAAAACCACCAAATGCTTAAGTTGTATCTTCCAGTTCTTAAATAATTAACCAGCTTTGCAGTGTTTGAACAGCCATGCTCAGGTACCACAGCTCCTTTTTAAGATCCCACTGCAGGGTGTGGGATGTGGTTTATGTTATCATCTCATACTGCAAACAGGCTTTAGAGAATTGCTCTGGCCCTCACATTCCTTGCACAAGCACTACAGAACTGGGCTGAGCTATATTAAATACAATTTATTTGCTTTGGGGCAATTAAAGAACAAAACCCAAGGCAATTCTGCATGCATTTTATTGTGTAAAATGCATCTTTAGGGTCTTGTTTCTACTGAAGCCTACCAGGCAACACATGGTGTTACAAATATCAATTCAAACTCCTGCACATGAAGATAAAATAACTTAAGGAGAGTTAGACTGGGAGTTGCTGCCCACCCTCTGCCTGGCCCCAGCCCCATCTGGTCTAATCACCAACAACCCACCAACCTTTCTGAAACACATTAAACTGAGACCAGTTTGCTTTTCTATTCCCTGTTTCCCCAACTGCACTTCAGTTCTGAATCACGATAAGCCAGGAAAAAAAAAAAAGATCACATATTAACATCACATTTGAATCTTCCCAGCAGTGCTTTCATGGCCAAGCATCTGTCAGGAATTCCAGATCACAGAAGCCTTCTTCCAGGAAGTTATTTTTATTCACTTGCTCTTTCTTTTTTGATTCCCCTAGCCTCTAGGAGGATGTGCAGCAATCAGTGCCTCTTGTGGACGCCTCACCTCTGCCCAAACAACTGAGATCTCACTTGTGCAAAGGGCCCCTGAAATAGACCATGACTCAGAACTGGGAAGTGGAGATGTGGCAGGGAAGAGAGGTGAGTGAGCCAAGCCCTGGGGTGGTTAGGGTGGATGCTAACTTTGCAAGATACATTTGAAAAGTTTCTTTAAAGCAGGGGAGGATCAGTGACAGAAAATCCAGTCTCACCGATCAAAACCCCTTTGATCTGGAATGACATCTCAGGGAGAAACTCTGTTTTTCCCACTGATGTTCCTCAGTCAGCCTTTCTGGGGGCAGGGTGGCTTGGTGATGACTCAGGAAAACTAACTGCCTCTACCTCTGTTTCCTGCTTTTGATGCAGGACTACCTGTTCTTTCTCTTACTTCCTGACTTCTTTAACCTCTTCCTATCTCTCATTCTTTACACCTTATCTTTTCCCTCAAGTCATCCTTGGCGAATGTCTTCCTTTGGTTACTTTTCTTACCTCCAGCACCACCTCTGCATTTCACCTTTGCCTCTCCATCTGCTAAACAAAGGCAGGAGCCCCAAGAGTGACCCTTTGCACTTGGTTGACACCTGAACAAGATTGCTGGGCTGCATTAACAGAAGTGATTTTCAGTGAGTGATGGACAATGCAAGTAAGGAATACTTCAGTGTTAAATCTACCTAATGAGGGGGAAAATAATTAAAAACCTTTCCCTCATCCAAGTTCCTCCTCCAAAAAAACAATCTGGAAGGTGCTTTTTGCCTTATTAATATCATTATTAATTCAGAAATAAAGTTGATAACTCCTGAATGTGACTTGCACCCCTCACTCAGCAGAGCAGCACTGAGGTTGTGCTTGCTGCTCATTGCTACTGACACTGTCCCCTTCACCCACTGTGTCTGTTTGCCAACAGCAGCCATCATTGTCAAGCCATCCAGGTTTGAATCCCTTCAAATACACTTGAATCTGAAGCAAGTCCAAAGGCAGTCAAGTTTCACTGATGAAGTCACAGTAATTAAGGGCTTCTGAGGTTTCTCCTACCATTTGGCAAGCTTTCCGTTGCCGTGGGGAATATGATGACAAGACAGAGGTATTGTCTAGCTTGACAAGATCAAAAGAGGGCAGGAATGTTTTACACTGGGAAAAAAAAAGCACTTTTACATTGTTCCACAATAGCAAAGAGCAGTTAGATTTTCAGACACTAATTACCCTCGCTCTGAAAACAATACATCCAGCCAGACACACTGAACAAAGCTACAGCTGTTACAAAGGAGCGTGGGAGCAGAAGTTCTGCTCTCACTGTGTAAATGGGAAGTTGCCTTTCCTTCGTGAGCTACTTTAGCACAGTATTCAAGATACAATTTGTTTCTAATTATAGACCCTCTGTTTCTTTTCCAGGCAGCTTAGTCTGCCTCATGATCTTTGACCACAAAGATGGTCAGCGCCAACTACCCCAAAGACCAGTCTTGCCCCAGGTCCCACTCTGCCAGCAGACACAGAAGAGCATGCACCCAAGTGATCTAATCTTGTCTGACTCACAAAGCCTCCCCCTTCAGCAGAGCACACAGGGATTAGACTGGAAACCAACAGAACATGTAATTAATGCCAAGTATGTGCTCAAGTATTATTGATGAACCGGCACAGATTTCCTCTCCTGGGCTTTGATCAGTGCCTGGATTAATAAATAACAGATAAAGCTCTGCCTCCAAAAATTCTCAATGGGGGTTCCTGTTTCTGCATTCCTTTACTAGGATGTGGTGAATAACAAGCAAAAATAAAAAAAATTAAAAAGAAGGCTGTTTTGGCAGGTTGTCCTATTTTCTGAAAATAGAATCTTGTATTCCACCCCCTACCCCATCTATAACGTGCTTGAACAAAATCTACAACACCCACACATGTGCTTGAAAAACCCAGAGAACCATTATCCTTTCCTTGGGCTTTATTCCCCCCCTCGCTTGTTTCTGGTAATCAAACTGTCAATTGTATTTATTGTCTGTAAAGCAATGAGAGAAATACACCACTGGAAATTGGTTAGTGCAGGTAGCTCTTGAGAAGGAATTTGCTGTGAAATGTTGATCCAGATCTCCAAAATGAGAGAAAAACAAAATTTCAAAGTCCAGTAGTAAAACGCTGAGATGCACAAGGCCCCTTACAGCTAGTCAGTTGCTCCATCAAGGCATAAGAACAGGACAGGGATTTTGCCTTCCTTTCTCTGGGATAAAAAGTATAGGCATTTCTTTAGTTAGCCCTGGAAATACTGTGACTCCCTTGTTTCAGAGGGCTACGCTGATGTGCTCTCACA